CCATGAGCATTTCCAGAGGCTTGACAATGTCTCCAATGTGGAGGGGCCTACGTCTCTATGTCTCTTGAAGTACCCACTGTAGCGTGAACCTACATCTCAGGAGACTCAAACAAAGAGACAATCCTTGTAGCTAGGAATTTTATATCCTCTCAGACCTAGAAGCCTAACCATGGCCATAAGCAAACACCCTTGGGATCCAGAGCAGACAGAACACATCTGTCCCTCTGACTGATAATACAGAGACAGCCTGACGCTCTTGTGCTCAATGTTACAATCAGGCTGGTTGGATTTTCTCCCCTCAAGGAGAGCTTTTGACAAGGTGTTATGAAATTGTGTTACCTGTAAAACCCCTTGAGGTTCACTCTGTCCTTTACCAGGTCAGCTGCTTGAATGATAATATTCCTTAATGCTCTTCCTGCACAAGAAGAATTCTCTCCATAAATCTAAGAAGAAAAGACAGACAATGATTATACATGGAGAACAAAAACTCCCCATAGCATGCTATATATAAAGGATCATGACTAATTCCCTAAGCTTCAGACACATTTTAGCCTGTGAAGCTACAGGTCTATAATTACCTTATTTTATCTTAGCTGCTGGTCCACTTACGCTATTAAACTATAATAACTATTTTCCAGATGTAAAGGACTTAACTATCATCGTAAGCAACGTTCCTTTAAAACACGAAGTTCTCAGTGCAAAATATCCACATTTTTGGAAATAGTGTTTCCGTCACCACGGCGCACCGGAGCCGTGTATCTGTGCAGATTAATCGCAAGCAACTCGTTTAATCTACCAACTTGGCCATTATTGATAACCCATGCATATAAAAGCCCTGGAAAGACATCCCTCTTCCCTCCTCGCAGCTTAGTGAACAACTAAAACCCCTGATGCAATGCCACAGCAGGCTACTTTGTCCTGAAGCCTCACTCAGCTACGGAGTTCACAGCTAATTCCAAATGCTCTGATTTGATCCGTGGTGCTTCACAGCTCTCTCTCTTTCAGAAAGGGATTTCGTTTGACTCCTTTGCTTAATCTTCCCATACTTCTGAGTCTTTAATCCCTGGAGAGGAAGGAAGGTGCCCTGTTTTCAAGACAACCTCCTTCTCTCAAATTGCCCTTTCTTCTCTAGCACAAGGCTGTTTCAAAAGCCCAAGAGGTGAAATTCAATGGGCTAAAAAAACCCACAAGGTGGATGACCATGGAAGTCACTGGATGTCACTTTATGCTGACAGCTTCCCATTTGTTCCTGCTTTTTCATATTGTGGAAATGTACTTATTTGCATATTTATCTTTACAGGTATGAGTATCTTTTCCCCCCACATGTATTTATGTTTGTATGTGTGTTCTACATGTGTGTACATGATACTTTCTGGAGATATTAGATCCCCTGGAACTGGAGTTATAGATGGTTGTGAGCCACCATGTGGATGCTGGGAATCATTGCTTTTTGGCAAACTCCTTTTACTGGCTGCGCTGGGTTTGAACTCAGGGCCTTGTAAGCAAGGCAAGTGCTCTATAGCTGCACTACACCTCAGTAACTATTTCTTTACCTACAGATATTTTATATTATTACCCCTTAAAGCAAACAAGTTGGTAATGTGTCGGTTGTGACTTGCTAGAAAATAAGTGTTTATACTTAACTCTCCCAGTATCATCACTTGAATGCAATCTGACAAGAAGAGGACCAAGAAACGATTCCCCACTGGCACGTTTTTCTTAAAAATCAAATCTCGAACAAGCTACACGGCAGACAGTTACTGAGTCAAGGGCACGAGTTAGATGGTGCCTGGCTAGTCCTGACATCCGCAAGGCTCACTCAGTAAGTCATCCGTGAAGCATTTAGTGAGCAGACAACAAGTACATGCTCTACTTCAGGTGTGTAACCATGAAGGGCAGGAAGGGGAGGCCCTCCCCTCCAGTCTCTTGTTCTGAAGAATGGGAAAGTGCGTCTGACTCTTCAGCGACAGCACCATAAAGGCGTCCTCATCTCCTCTCGCCAGTGAGCACAGAGGGGACAATGCCCTTAGGGGTAACAACACATACATCTCCTCTTATTAAAGTTGTGTGTACCGTGTATACTATTTCCAAACTGCTGCCCTTGCACCACTACAAAAAAACTGAAGGATGCTCATTTACTCCACCACACTGATGGCTTGTTGCAAAGCCTGAGGAAAATAGTTACTTCTGTGTCCTGAGCATCTTGAGCCACGAGAATGCTGAGGGACTCTCGGTGTCTTCGTTGGTCTTCCCTGGCAGGGAAGATGGTGTGATGAGGGCATTATTGTTATTGTTAGGAATGAGTGCGTGGGGGGGGGGACCTTGGCGGATTCCATGGCAGGTGAGGGTGACAGAGGGGGAGGGACAAGCATGCCAGGCAGACAGAGCTTAGTGAGAAGTTTTATTAGAAAGGGGAGAGGTGGAGGAGGAAAGAGAAAAGAGGTAGGGAGACACAGAGAGAGGACAGAAGAGAAGAGGGAGACAGGAAAAGTCCCAGGGGAACAGTAGAAAATAAGAGTGGGAAAGAGAGAGTGGAAAGAGAGAGTAAGTGGGAAGGGGTCTTTCTTTTAAAGGGGTCCTTTGCACCTGGGCTGACCAGGGTAGTGCCTGAGTGCATTCTGCCAGGTGACAGGGGCAGGCCAGCGTCACGCCTGAATCCTTACTATGATCCCGGGAGGTCAGGCAGCTATAACCTAAAGTTCCCCACTAGCATCTGTGGAACCCCCCATTTACAAAAATACAGAAGGAAAAGAGAAAACAGTTTCGTACCTGGGAAGGACTGTGTTCAAGGTATGGATTGGAAATTCTTCTTGAGAGAGTCTATTTTAAAAGGAAAAAAAAGGAAATTAGACTCCAACACACACATACACACTTGGGAATCCCCCAACCCCCCCAAAAAGCAAAACACATGCTAGTGTCAGGCGTAGGAAGTGCCCACGCTAGAAAATGAGTTCAACACACGGGATCGGACCCCGTGTGTTCTGCACTTGGTCACCTTCACACCCATCAGGCAGCACATTCCACTGGAACAAGCTCCTGCCTCCGAGAGTACAAGCAGCAGCAGAAAACTGTGCCTTCCATCCCCTCCCCAAGTCACTCCAGGGATGGCACCGGGGTCCCCTTTCCCTTGTACCATTCAGTCCTCTTTCTCTTCTCCCCAAAGGCTGCTCCGGCCTCTGAGAGGCCACCCACTCCCCTACCCCACCTCCCCAACGCCAAACCACCCTTCAAACTTCCAGCAGACAAATCTCCCCAAATCACAGCCTCCCCCTCTTAGAGTGAGTCACTGGAGGTTTACAGGGGTCAACCGAAAGCCCTCAGCCGCACAGCCAGCCTCTTACACATTGTGTGTGTGTATGTGTGTGTGTGTGTGTGTGTGTGTTAGTTCTCTTCAGCCCCATAGGGGTTTTCTGACTAAGATTTAAGCGATCCCCGGGGGACTTGGAGAGAGGACACTATAGGTTACGTTCATAATACCATGCACCCATACGTGAAACTGACAAAAATTAACGAATACGCAGGATCTAAGTGTCGGATCTAAGGATGCTAGGGAGACAGATCACTCCACTAGTCCTTACCTGGCAGGCTTGTGGACCTGAGTTTGATCACCATAACCCATGTTTAAGGGGGGGGGAATAATAATAAAATAAAATGGGCCTGGTGGCATACACTTGTAAGCCCAGAACCAAGAAGGTGAACGCAGGTGGACACTTCAGACTCACTGGCCAGCTGACGTAGTCTACTCGGAGAGCTACAGGCCATGTCCCCAAAAATCAAAGTGGTTAATACCTGAGAAGGACACCAAAGGCTGTCTTCTGGCCTCCATACACGTGTGCGTGCATGAGTCTGCACATGGGCGGACGAAAGTATACCCACCCACAAGCACGCATACACATACATATCAGAGCAACCTGACACTCACATCCCTACCTCTCACACCGTTTTCTGTTCAAATCCATTGTCTTCCGTGATGGGCCCACACGACCTCGGACTCCAGGTTTGCACCTGCCCCAGCTCCCCCCACCCCCATACACACACACAACCGCTAACCAAGCCCAGCTATGCCGAACTTCTAAGACCAGATGAGACCCTCTGTGTTCAGAGTGAGTAAGGTCATCGGCCAGACAGTTATCTCCCCAGTGAGGCTCCTCCAAAGGGAACCGGGTCGGTATCCTGTGGAGGTCTTTGTTTTGCTGCCGTTCATACTTTAGAACTTGGGCACCCGGCATTGTGGCACACAGGGGATCTGTGCTGGTGCCTCATGGCCCTTTGTTTTCGTGGCACCTAGCACACCACACGTTGCAGAAAGCTGTTTGTTTTCCCCCATTCCTTTACTTAGCTCTTTATATATATATCACATGCCAGCTAAGTATTTGCTGAATGGCTTGAATTGTAGGAGCTAATTTCCGCGCCCCCCCCAACCTAACAATCCAGCAAGCCGCACCGTCGCCCACAGATGGCTCTGCACAATGGAGAATGATTACCACGTCCCATCGCAGCTCAGGAAGAACAGAGAAACTAACATTTACTGAGCTCCCAACCCATGTTTAAAGGCCCTTTACACCTGGTGCTGTGAGATGGGATGCTTGAGGGAGCCCAGTTTTTAGCCCAGCCGCCTCCACTCCTCAGAATGACGGAGCTGTATTTACCAAACACCCCCCGCTAATCATCACTTTGTGGTGTGTGAACCTTCTACCAAATTTCAACCTAAAGAGAAAATGGCCATGCTGACTCCCCCCCCCACACACACACGAATTATCCTTGTATTGACTCTTTATCCAGAAATGCTAATAAATACTCTGCTAAAGATCTGCAACTTGCTTAGAAAAGAAAGAAGCTTTTGTAAGTCAGCCCATTTGTGATGCCTGCCATTCTGGCCTTGTCTATGCAAGCTCCAATAAGTCCTCCCCAGACCTTCTGTTACCTGAGCCTATGTAATATCTTCAATTATTGAAATACTGGATAATTTAAAACTTACATATAGACACCAGATTTTTCTTATGATGGTGAGTTGTCGTGACAAGTTATTATTTTTTTTAATCAGGAACAAGGAAAAAAAATTTTAATAATCATTGTGGCAGACCAAAGCTGACAATCTCCGTGTGTTCGCTGAATTGTTTCAGTCAGTTCCCAGAACAAATTCTTCACATGAGCTAGTCCAAGAAGAAGCCTTCCTTAGTTAGGTTAAAATAGAAAATTCTGAAATACTGGGCAGGAATATTTTCCACTAAGGAAACAAATCCCTCGTCTTTCTCTCCACTGCCATCCTAAACCAGGCAGCCGTCGGGGTTACAGTTAAGTGATCCGGCTCACAGGGTCACCCTCCCCAAGGCCCCTTTCGAGAGGCAGGTAAAGGGAGCAGGCAAAGTGATGGGAGTCCTCAATGCTGAAAAGATAAGGGTGTTGGGTAAGCTGCTAGTCCCTGGGGAATGACAAGCAACACAATAAGACTTGTCTTTCACAGAACACAACCCTATTGTCAGAACCTCCTGCGATGCCTTCTCTCAGCCAGGCCCAGGGGAAGTATGTTTCATTAACACCTGGGATAGCAGTCCACTGAGCTAGGGAAAGCCACTGTGGCTCTCAGTGAAGTACTGACCTGTTAAAATAACTTTCCCAACTGCTCTTGCAGAGACTACTTCCTGTTAGGCTCCCTTGCTGACCAGAATTAACTGATGGGGGCGGGTATTCTTCTGTACATACGTTTCTCTTATTAGTTGATGAATAAAACACTGTTTGGCCCATGAGGCAGGAATCCAGAAAGCTTTATAATTAACTGGTAGACACACGTAAGAAACCATAGACTAAAACGAGAACTGTCACTTTCTGGTAACTTCCTTCTTGTGGCCAAGGATAGAATCCCATCGTCCATAGGTTTTAGAATTACACAGTCACAGAAAGTTTGGCGCAATGGAAATAGGTGACAGGTGCAAGTTGCTGTGGTGCACAGGAAGTACCTGTTCCTTCCGTTGAGTTCTGGCTGCAGCTAGGACCCATACTATCTCGTGGAGATCCTAGGTGCATGCTGATAACATCAACCAGTCACTCCCACACAGGCCACTTGTAATAAAATCTTCCAAACAGTGCCACCACACCTAAGTCAACGATGTTCTCAAAATTCTATATTTGCCGTTGACCTGTCATGTGTTAAGAAAGGAGGGGGGCTGATGAGATGGCTCAGTAGGTAAAGTCCTTGTCATATAAAGGTTGAAATAAAGAGCGAGAGCGAGAGAGCGAGAGAGCGAGAGAGCGAGAGAGCGAGAGAGAGAGAGAGAGAGAGAGAGAGAGAGAGAGAGAGAGAGAGAGAGAGAGAGAGGAATTGAAATTGAAAGGCCTGAGTGCTGGCTCAGTTGGTAAGATCGCTGTCATACAAGCATGATGATCTGAGTTCAGCTACAGCACCTGGTAAACGAACTGGACGTGGTGATGCATTCCTGTAATCCTAATACTCCAGAAACAGAGACAAGCAGGTTCTGGGGGCTGGCTGGCTGGTGAGCTAGCCTAGTCTAATCAGAGGACTTCCAATCTCAATTATAGTCCCTGTCTCATAGAAGGTTGATGGTTCCTGAAGAATGATACCCAAGGTTCATCTCTGACCTCCAGGTGTGCAATGCACATGCATGTGTGCCTACATGAACACACACAGCAGACCAAAGAACACGGGACAGAAAGAAACGGATTTGTGAGCAACCCCTTTGCCTTAGTCGCGTCTTCATATTGGCAGCTGCATCCCCTCATTACTGTTGGTGCAGGTTAAGAGGCTCAAGTGTCAGAGAAACGAAGTACTCTACCACAGGCCCCAGAGGAATGAAAGGAGAGTCACAGCAGGGACCAAAGTCCGCAACATACCACATGTCTCTAACAGTAATTAAGTTTCTGCCATGCACTGATATTTTACACGCATCAAATGGAGATCTCCGAAACACTCAGAGGTGAGTATAGATGACAAACCAGACTAAGAAGAAGTTAAGGAATCTCCCCACATCTACCTTTAGTTGCTACTCCGTGGATACACATTTCAACGTAGAGCATCACGACTGAAGTAATGTGCCTATGCTGAGTGACTTTTCCAAAGATGTAGACCAAACTCTACCTACCCCAGACAGGATACAAAAGGCACAGCAAAAGAATGGTTCCCCCTAAGTCCATCTTTGGGGCTGCTTACAGTAGTGTGGGCAGTTTACTCACAACTACACACCCGAGTGTCCTCCCGTTACAACACTAACTGATAATACATCCTCAGGTATAGAGTGAAGCCTTTTCCTTGCCAACCGCTTTGGTTTTTCCCCACCAGTCCCCTGGGCTCTGCCGCGTTGTAGTCCCCAAATAACACACAAGATGATGCATTAATTATGAAGCTGTTGGCCTTGCTTGTTTCTTACTGGCTAGCTCTGACTTAAGTATTTACCCCATAATTGTTAATCTAAGTATTTCTCTTACCAGAGAAAGGTCCGGACTTCTTACCCCCATGGCCACTACATGGTGACTCTCTGTGTTTCTCCTTCCCAGAGTCCTCCTGGACTCCTAGTCCCACCTATTTTGCTTCCTTATTGGCCAACAGTGCTTTATTGACATATACACAGGACTTCCCCATCACTCAGGGAATGCAACAAGAGGTCACCTAAGGAGCTGAGAGGTAGAGTATTTGCCTAGCATGCATGCCCTGGCTTCACTCTCCAGGAATGAGGGAGGACCTTACAAATAATACCGGCTAGATCCAGCAGGTCCCAAGCCTAGATGGCATAGAAGCCGTTGGGGGAAAATACCATGGTCCCATGCCGAGCATACTAAATTAGAATCTCAAGGAGTGGGTGGGGCCT